AATGACCTATGCCTACTGTATTCCACCCTTCAGCATTATTGCCACAGTGCTTTGGAAAGTGGAGGAAGACCGAGCCGAAGTTTGTGTGGTCATTTCTCAATGGACAATGCAACCTTGGTTCACAAAATTGTTGAAGCTCCTGGTGGAACCACCAGTCATCCTCCCAAGAAGAAAAGACTTACTGCTTCGTCCCCTACTGGGTCATCCACGTCCACTCTTGAACAACACAAGACTATTGGGATGCAGGCTGTCCGGGAAAACATGGAAAAACAGGGACTTTCTTTGACAACTACTGACATATTGCTCCAGTCATGGAGGAGTAGTAAAAAAACCCAGTATAACACGTATTGCACGAAATGGATGGGATTTGTAGTGGCAGGAAAATTGGTCCACTGCAACCATCTGTGAAGACAATTTTAGAATTCATAAAACAGCTTTATGAAGCAGGACTGGGTTGTAGTGCGATAAACACAGCAAAATCTGCAGTGACTTCATTGCATCTGCCAGTTGCCTCTTCGGTGTCACTGGGGACGCATCCACTGATTTGTAGATTTCTCAAAAGAGTGTTTCAAGAGAGACCAACAATACCACATACCTCTTCAATTTGGGATGTTTAGTGTTAACCGTACTAAGGTAGTGGTCCCCTGCCAAGTGTTTGTCACAGAAACAACTTTCACTTAAGACAGCCATGTTGCTGTTGCTGCTCTCAGCGGAGAGAGGCCAAACAGTTCTCAGTTTTGATATCAGAAACTAATAAGGTTGTTCTTCATATTGGAGACTTAACTAAAACATTGAGACCTGGAGCCCACAAAGGGACAGTGGAAATTCTGCCTTATGCTCCAGACACGAGATTATGTATTGTCACCTTCCTGAGAAAGTATCTCAAGACAACAGAGAAAGACAGGTAAGGCCATAGGCAATTGTTGATCACATATAAGAAACCGTCCCAGCCAATCGCCAGAGATGACTCATCCTGGTGGACTAGGCTGGTGTTGGAAATGGCAGGAGTAGATATAAAAGTATTTACTCCGCACTCTAGTAGGTCTGCAGTGGTAAAGTGCAGTACACAGGAACATACCTGTACAGGCTATCTTAGATTTGGTTGGATGGGCCTGTGAGCGAACTCATGTAAAGTGCTACAAAAAGACTGTTGAGAAATACCCAGACCTGGCAGCAATGCTCCTTGCCTAGAGTGCCAGCAAATAATTTGCAGGTAATTCCTTTCAATCTTGTGAATGGGGTCAACTGTTTACATGCTCTAAATATCTCGCAGAATCTTGCAGTAACAGAAGTTAATGAGGTGGAATTGAAAATTAAACGAACTTACCAAGTGAAGTTTGATTTTAATTCTACTGAGCTAACTGAAGTATGGAGGTATTATGTGCCCTCCCATGTTACCCTCCCGAATACTTGGACCTACTGGTGTGAACAGTAGAAGTGTTAAATACTGAGTTGTGGGTAAGTGCTGCGCAATCTCGCATAATCCCTCTGTACTTCAGTTAGCTCAGTGGAATTACAATCAAACTTCGCTTGGTAAGTTCGTTTAATTTTCAATTAAGCAGGGTCGTTTCATAATAAAGTGAAACATGGAAAATGTGTTTATGTCGTCGTTGATAAGTCTGCTGTGCTGCCCAGCACAACTTGCGAAACCCTGTTCGGCCACTGAAGGCCTGCACACATAGGACTGCTATAGTTAACTGTGATACTACTCGTTGGTTATTTAAGACCTCTCCCACAAGGAAGCTTCCACAAGGAATGTAATCTCGGGTTTGGGTGGTGGGTTCCTATACGCTGGGGGGTTTATATTAGCCTAATATGTAAAAAAAGAACATACCGTACTTGCACATGGACATACATAGCGTCAATATCCAATGAAATATAAGGGTGTATTTGCCGGGCCACTGACAGTGCTGCGCCCACTGATCTCAACTGCTGCTCCCCTCGCAGAATGCAAATAGTGTGCCAAGTGAATGAAACCTGAAGAATTTCCTCTTGTAAATATTGAAACACCCCAAGGAGATGGAAGGAGATCTAATTATGGTCTAAATGCCTAGCTCCCTGGTCATTCGAATTCAAAGACCAAAATGGGGTTTGGATATCTCCTACCTCTTCTTTCTATATTTAAATAAACCTTCCTCTTGAATCAACTCTACCTTCACGACAGTGGGAGAATGAACCATTTATCTCATCCACAAAGCCTTTCCTTAGTGTTTTCATTTAAAACTTGCGGCAAGCTAACCAATTTAGCAGGATCATGGAAATGGCATGAGAACAACTGGAGTGAACATGAAACGCGTGTGACAATGGAGCATCCCGATTTTTAAACTGATGGCCTCTTGAGCACCCACGCTCGCAGCGATGCAAATAATATATTTATTGAGCATTCCCCTCCGAGACAACTCATTTATTGATGGGGCCTGTAGCGTGTCCTTGAGTTCTTTAGACATTTTCTCTCAGGGCCTTTAATTGAGACCTCGTCATCACTCATCCTAGTGAAGCTGGCCGTTCTACTTGCAGTAACTCTTCATTCTGTGGCAATGGATTACCAAGAGTATTTATCACTGATGATCCCATTGAAAAGTAAAACCACGGTGTCTATTTCATCTCAGCCTTAGACGCTCTTACAAGGTTCTGTTTGAATTCATCCCACCAACAAGACATCTTCGTCTTGAACATCACAGAGCAGTCTAGTAACAGACCTTGCCTTCCTGTTCAAATTGTCATAATAGTACAGTTAAATCTCGATACCTCAAATCTCTGGGGAATGGACAAAAAATTTGAGTTATCCAAATTCAAGTTAAAAGAAGGTCCCGATTTCTTTTGAAGTTAAGTCATTATTACGATGTGTATCATAACATATGCCTACACACTGACGCACAGTTACCGTAAATCTCCCTATGATGACTTTTGAAATGATATTGTGGTAATTTTGTACTTTGGTGAAAGTCTCGCAACAGGTTCTTTCGTGGTTAGACAATACTAGCTTCTTTATCAAAACCACAAGGACCCATACTGGGGGAGCCACCTACAGCTCTACCTAATGTCTTCCTTTCTTTGGTAGGTCCTCATCATTCTGTACAATTTTGCTCACTTTCAGTGTATCCTCCCCTACCCTCCTCTAGAGTACAGTGCTACTCTGCAGAGATAGTGATGTTGTGGGTAGGATAAGCCCAGTGGACTCATCACCCACAACAGTGTGGGATGAGTGTGCTAGTGAATACATACCCGAACAGTTGAAGCTCTCCTGTCCTCCCCACTCTGGCTTCAACCTTGGGCTCCAAAAAAGGTGGCACGGCGGTGCATTGTGCACTATGGTTGATCAAGTTTTGGCGAATGGCAAAAGGCATAGAGGGAAATCTACAGAAATAGTGACTGTTAGGGTAGGTATTTGCTAGGAGACTTGTCATATTCTGATGTTTGGGTTGAATTTCATAGCTCAGTGAGTTTTTAAGGTTTACAAGCATGCTTGGTGCTCACTGGAATGTTCTTGTAAGTACTGGTAAGTAAAATCAATTTTAAGTTAGAACTTGATTGCTTCAGTAATGGCAAACTTGTTTAAAATAATGTTTTATGTACATGCCCTTGGAAGCTGAAGATTTTGGAACTCTGTATTCTTCTTTCCTTTATGGACGTCTTCAAAATTGTTTAGGCCATGTCCAAAATGTCCTGCTGTCAAGATGTGTGCCCAAACTAGAGACATTGTCAATGTGTGGTCCCAGGCTCGTAAGAAATGATTTCTCTGTGGTTTAGGATAATGACCTACTAGTTGGTTTGAGACTGCATCTACTTGACCACTATTAAAGTGATGGAACTGGGAAGCCCGAATGTAACATTTTTTAATTGATACAGGGCATGAACTGTAGCCTATTCTGGCAACACACCGGTATACTGTCTGTCCTTGCCTCTATTAGTTGTTTTTCTGTTTTGGTATTAAACTGCATGGAAATCTACGAGTCACACCTTATAATGGTACTTGTACATGTATGTATTCCAGCTGTTCATATCGTACTTTGATATTCACTTACAGTGTAGCTTAGGGCAGCTTATTTGGTGGTGATGTACATTTAAAAGTGGGTGATGAGTATTCACCCGTACTGTATGTACCTCAACTATTGGCTACAATCAAAGTTGGCATGGGAGAATTTGTGATTCAGAATTTCCAGTGTAGTGTTTGTTAGCCAAGCTCACTTACTTTCATGTTGCACCCTACTTTGGTGCTGTAGCAAGTTTACTTTCCTCTTCATATAGTTCTGTGCCGAGTCCTATGTACTGTGCAATTGGCTGTCATTTGTAAAAGGTACTGGTAGGTCATTCATGTAATTAATGTGGCCAAATGAGCAACCGAGTAATTTTCATAAGAGATGTTGTGTTGGTACTGTTTACATGGTATGTTTAAAGTCCACTCTTTACAAAGCTTCGTGGCACAACCTCGAAGTTCAACACCTTATTTTTAACCCCTTTGTGCCGGGACTCGGCAAGACATGCCTGAAAAATTGAGATCCTCAGCCCGCTTTTCAACTATTATACTCGGCCCACGCTCGAGGGAATACGGTGAAAGAAGGCAGATGCTGGCTCTTGTATATATGGTAATTGGTCTTTTTGTGTAGCCTAGAAATGAAAAGACTGACTTTGCATCATAGTCACCAGCTTCACAATAGTCCCCACTTTGAAAAGAAGCAACAGGAATGTGGAAGTGTGAGTAGAGCCGCATGCCACCGAACAATCAGACTTTTCGCCGTGTAATTCAAAGCGTGCAGAGCACGCAGGTCCACAAACCGAGTATTTGCAGTTTGGCAGGTGGCCTTCGTGGCCAAATCTAGGCAGGAATTCTTGGAGTCGGCTTTCGGAAAGAAATTCCCATCATCAAGGGGTTAAGTAAATTTAAAATGCATGTGGTATGCCTGTGTATGCTGTCAGAAAAATTAGTTCCTATTCGAACTTGAGTTTGTGCTGCAATCTTTCAACAACAAGATTTACATGTACTTTTTGCTCTTGTACAGATGCGACAAGTGGCTTGTCTTACGTCAAGTTGGATCGTTCCAGTCAGACATCGAACCCGCATAAATCCACCCAAAGCGACAAAAAAAGGTCGTTTGTTACTCAAGGACCAAAAAAGGCTCAAACTGAAGGAGGAATATAAGCAAGACCCTCAAAAGATGCTAACAGAAACATTGAAGAAATCTGGCATTAAACTGTGCCCCCCCTTCACGGAACGTGCTGTCACAATAACTTGTACAGGTAAATCATTGCTGATTTAGATAAAAATTGATTAGATTTTTTTTATGAACATAAGAGTGGCCTGAGCCTACTAGTATTTGGATAGCCAGGTTGTTTCATGTCATAAAGACAAACAAATAACTACACCACAAGAAGAGTACATTTACATGTTCAATTTACCTTAAAAGGTAACTCAGATAGCTTGGAATACTAAGTGTATGTACACGTGTACTTATAATTTGTCCTTGCAGGGGATATATTTGAGCCGTATGTCCCTCCTGAAGGAGATGGCAAAGCTATGTCTCTTACACCAGAGGTGAGTAACTGAACTGTGCAGTTTCTTCAAAATATTCCTAAATATACTTCAAACAAAAATGATTCTTTTTTTCTTCCAATTCAAGTACATTTAGAAGTTTTAATGCATTATGCGTTTCATAGATTTTGTATGGGATAGGAGGGGTTGATGTTAAAGAAGCTGGGCACTAACTAGTGTGTTAGATACATGTACTTGATGGAACTGTCCATTTCATAACTCAGGAGGTTGTATCAGTTGTTAAGCAAGATGGTGTGTTCTTGTGCTGGGGTCCAATTTTCTTTATCAAAATTTTAAACAATGATTTCAATCAGATCTGTTTAATTTTAAAGTCTGCCCAATTTTTTATTTGTAGGGCATAACTTTGATTCATAACTTGCTCTGTATCTTTTTAGGAATATCGGTTTAGTGACAAAGTTACATGTACATGTACACATGCTTTGATTCTAAAAGTTTTGTTAATAATCAACAGATGATTTTTGTATGTACATGTAAGCCACATACATGTACGTGTATCTCACTGAACCACTTCACAGTGGAGGATGGTAAATCACCAATGATTTTCCCTGACTTGTATACATGTACAAGATCTGCCAATTTCATGTGTTTGAAGTGGAGTGTAAGGGCTGGTTCATACTCACAGCATTTGCACACACGCAGTGAGTAATGTGAACGCCACGTTTAACGTTTACACATTTATCTTTTATCAAGCCTATGCTGCGTGTGCATATCCAAAAAAAGTTTTAAAATTTAAATTTGTCTGAATACGCATGCATTTGGTGCGGACAAATTATCCATTGTTTTCACAATGCTAGGGTACCCATGTTCATTACGCACTCCACTTTTCCTCACACACTGTAGATACCTCAAAATAGACCTTCGCGCTGCATACACAGTGAATATGCAGCGAGTATGAACCAGCCATAACATTTAATACACACCTGTAGCTTAGTTGGTTCATATTGTTTTTACATGTTTTACATGTATGTATGCATGAAAAATCTCCTCTTCCTCAAAAAATCCAAAAAAATTCCTAAATCCCAGCTCTGTCAAACACCATGTCTAAAACTCCACCAAACCCCAACGTGCCCCTAACCTTCACCACCCCATTCAAGTACGCAAAACTAGTTGCCGCGCACGTCACCTGGTTATCCATCCATTCCGCGATGGTGAAATATGACCTCATAGCCCAAGCGAAAAAAGACATGCTGTGCCATTGGCATCCTATCTGCCTGGTGCGGGAAACAAAACACGGTCCTGAAATCGACTGCATCAGATATTTATTCCTGATTTATTAGTTTATAGACGATTTGTTGTGTTTTTTGTTTTTTTTAACTGAAAAATATTATCACCTCTTATACAAAATCAGAAACATGACAAACCAAACTTATATCGTTACCAACAACCATTATGGTCTCAATGCCACCAACACAGACCCAAACATTGTGTACGGCCTTTTGACCCAAACAAACTTGTGATAGCAGACCCCATGATGAAAGAACGTGAAACGGCAACGCAGTGCTATTCTCCCATTTTTTTATAAACACAATGGCAAAGAAAAGCGCATGCTGATCATGTTGTCAGATACGACTTGTTACAGCATAAATCCACTCTATAAATATGGTAGTAGAGATAAAACTCCTGAAAATATCGTTGGACATCAAATCTGCTATCAACTCCAAGAGCCCGTTATGGATATACTTAATCATACAAAGTTTATCGACAAGCAAACGGTTAAAAGTCTGCCATTCGATTGACTACTATCAACGCTACAAAGCCAGTCACGATTTAGACACTTTGGAAGCAATAGACTTTGTGGTTAAACCACCTTACACGGATAAAAAATGTTTGTCAAAATAGATCCCGAGGCCTCGTTGTTTGATCATTGTAAAAAACCAATAACGAAAACAAAATGTGACAAATATGTTAACAAACTTGCAATGCACAGTCGTTCATTTATCCCAAAGATGTATGGCACATATGGCTCGTTGTCTTGCGGTGCCAGCATTCGATAGCCATGTTAAAAATTAGAAATAACAACGTAATTTCAGACAAAGTGGCATTGCAAGTGTTTCGAGGATTTGACAAGATAGAATCAAAAGAAGAAAAGGAAAAAGAAGAATCAGAAACAGAAGTAGATTAGGCGGCAATGCAAAATTGACTCGCCGTTATTCTGCATTCTTCCCAATTGGTCGGGTGTTGTCAAGGAGGGTGAGAATTCATGTCCTGCATGGGAGCGCGCACTCAAGCATGGCAGAGTTTAATGAGCTGAACCAGGGCTGGACCGATCACAGTAATTGTCATCCAGACAAAGGAATCGTGAATAAACATGAGCTGAGGGGACGACTCATGAATACAAACCGCCTGCACGCAGAAAGACGGGCGACTTGAAATCATGATTAAAAGATTTTACGACAAACTATTCAGTCTATCTTGATGGTTTATGATGATAAATCTGTAGACCTGTGACTGTTCTCAATATTTAGCTATAGTACCACCACCCTGGTGGTGGTACTATAGTGGTGGTTATTTTACTTTCACAAAAAGGCAGGCAACTCGGTCTTTTTAATAAGATCAACCTCGAATAGTATGCATGAAATGGTGAAGATCTGAGACTTGTCCCATGATGACCAGGAAACCTAAATGGGAGTGGACCTAACAATCCCATCGCACTCCGCATGCTCTTCCACAATATCGCGGTGCAACCGCGAATATTAATGGTACTACATTGGAAGTTGTAGGCCTAAAACCTGTCACTGACTTTAATAATTTGGGAATAACTTCAAAATTAACCAGTTGACGTCGGATATTCTGAATAAACAAAGCTGCCGGGGCATTGTCGTAGACTAGGGCATACAGTAGATTCCCGTTATAGCGCTCCCTGATATAATGCTCTTACCGATACAACGCTCAATTTTCATTTCCCCAACTGCACGCCCAATCACCGTGTACATTTTTATGTGGTTATAGCTATGGAGTGCAGACATGCACTGGGCCATGGGCTCGCCATCTATGCAGTATGATCGTGAGCACGTGCTCACCATGGTGAGCCGTGGCCGCGTGGCTTTGCTGTGGCGGCATTGTAGTGATTATTTTCGCACTTTTTTATTTATTCTCGTGGTGTAGTTTGGGATGCAGTAATCAACATTGGGATACTACATGTAGTATTTTGTTACCTAAAGGTTTCTTTCCCCCGATAAATAAAATCAGCCGCTTAATTATACGTTTATCTTCGTGTAGCAAATCTCGTCTTTTCGCCGATCGTGCTCGGCATGACATGTCGGGACTGTTTTCACTTGGGTTTTCTTGTGACAGTACTTTCTGTGGTCACATGGTCATAAGGAAAAGTCAGCGATTGGACTGTCCATGAATGGGGTATGCAGTAGTAGTCGGGATGTCGCGGTGGGTGTAGATGCAATGCTTGTGCCACGATGCAGCATGCATGAGGACCTAGGGTGGTTTCTGAAGCCAATTTAAAAAAAAAATGTTTTTGGAAGAAATATTCATGGACAGGAAAAAAAATCTTATGTCCCCTCCCTATAATCCTTATACTGGGCTATGCCACTGTTTGCCCTCCCTCGACCTGTTTATCACAATAAGGGCCAACAACCACTTATTTCATGTAACTTCATTTAGAAAACAAACTATTAAGAAATAAATAGAAAAGACAGGATTGCTCTCATCTTCATATTTATCACGGAACCACCTGCAAAAAGTGAAACAAATGAAGTCATGATCATAATTATTAGTAACTGCAAAAATAGGTAAATCCACCAAGCAAACTATCAATCAAAAGCTAAAGAGCAAAAATTCTTGATGTGAATTACAACCTCATTACCGCACA